AACATCTATGTGTTGTGAAGTACTGACACTTCCTGGTCCTGACAGCAGCCAATCAGACTGCAGAACAAACGGGAAAAGGAAGCAACATTACCTGTCTCTGTATGATGTTCTGTACTAGGGTTGTTTCATTTAAGAGTGGTCTAACTGTCAGTGTATGTGGGGGTTACACTTTACACTGTCGGTTCAAACAAGGTCAGTGTGGCTTCATGTTGGCTAAGTACTCCCCAAATTCAAAGTCCATATTTAGACAAGAACGCTTCAAATGTCTAGTTTAGAAATGTTCCCCCTCTGCCGGTTTTTATCAAGGTTGCTAAGGCTGCTTGTTAAGATCATTTTTGATATTGATAAATCTGTTTAATACTTATCTGATAAGTTGTTTGGTCTCTTTAAACCCCAACACAAGTTCTTTGTAGCTGCACATGTCCTTGAAAATGACTAAAAACAAAAAATTGCGACTGCTATAGAAGATTCTAACTCCCAAAAAATGCAATATCCAACTCCTAATAAAGCGAGAACAAGCTACCAAGGACTCTGGACTCGCTGGGAAAAAAAAACATGAAAGTTAAATAGAATTCCCAACAATATGCTAGATTGAACCGAAACAATACATTGAACTCCCAAATACTCAAGAAACAACTCCTAAAAACTCAAGATCAAACCGCCAACAATGCAACATGCATCCCCAAACATCCTTAAATCCTCGAGACACCCCCCAAATATTAAAATTCAAAACCATTCAAATTTTAAAATTCAAATATTAAAATTCAAAACCATTTAAATATTAAAATTCAAAACCATTCAAATATTAAAATTCAAAACCATTCAAATTTTAAAATTCAAAACCATTCAAATATTAAAATTCAAAACCATTCAAAGCTTCTTATTTCTTTACTTCCTGAAACCATTTATCTGTAGGAAATAGGAGTAGGCAGGAAACAACAAAAAGCACATCAATTGGATCAAATAACCCCGTTTGATTTCCAAAAGTGAAAACGACTACTTTCGGGAAGTCGCACAAACCAAAGTGAACTTTATTGTCAATCTCAAAATATGTTTGTACACACAGAAAGATCGAAATACTGTTTCCCACAGTCCCGAGTATTTCGATCTTTCCATGTGTGTACAAACATATTGACTTTGGCCAATGGAAACAGCCCCGTAATTAAAAGGTTGGAAATAAGTTCCGGTCATTGATTGGACGAGCACTTGGTTTTAAGAAATCCCGTTAACACTAAAAACGCCTGTGGAGTCAAAAAAGCCTTAATTTCTTAATTTATACCCAAAACGCAATGGGATCTCACTGACGGACAGACTAGACCTGGAGTTTAAATGTGTTGTTTTTGGTTTGCTGGTAAACTCAGCCACTTTTAAGGAGTTTACCAGCATGTCTTATAACGTCAGAGCAACGCCTGCAGGTGGCCGCTGTCGATATTTCCTGTACTTGTTGATCAGGTCGAGCAGCTCTGTTCTGATTGGCTCTTCTGTTTTGCATGCTGAGGGCAGGGGTTGTATATTTGTGGGACCTGATGAAATAAATTGTTATTTTGGTGCAATTTGATCAAAATAAAGGCCTTAATCCAGTGAATCAACCTGAGTGTTAAACTGTAGAAAAGTCATGTAAGCACAAAACATGAGATGTACTAAAAAAAAAGGTGCAATAAACAGACGTATCGACATGTGCTTATATTTGATTCCACATGCTTATAGTGTCTGAGAAGGATCACGTAATGACTGCTTGTGCTTACCTTACTTTTCTTACACTGGATTCAGGTCATTGTAAAGTTTCACGTGATCTTTTTATGGCAAATACTCTAACGTCTTGTGATTCTGCACGTGCAAACAGACGCCGTACAGGATCTAAATTGTTTAATGAGCTTCCTGTACGGTTAACTCTTTATCGACTGTTGGAGGTGTTTTGAAGAAGTTGGCATCAACATGTGAACAAACCCAGAAGAAATGACCACCAATGAACTTTTGAGAATCTTCTTAAATACTTCTCCACTTATAATTACTAAGACTTGTAGTACTATAAGAAGTTGTATTAATATGGACCTCAAATGTATTAATCATTTAACAAAAAGGTATTTTTTTATTTAAAGCAATCTGGCAGAACAATGATGAAGTTAGTTTCAAACAAATTCACTAATTCACCAAGAGGCTTTTTATTTGCTCAACACAAAATCTTCCAAAGCAGATAAAGTTCATACATTTTTCTAAGCAAATCTGATTTGTTTGAATAAAAAAAGTTGAATCTATTTAATTCGAGTTTATTTGTAAAAATCTAGGCTCACCAGAACGATAACAAATAAAGAAAACAACACGTTTTTAAGAAGTAAAAGAAACTAATTGAACTTTACATGTGTTGAGTTTAAACTCCATTTGAGCTGAATCTGATTCTGACTGGATTCCTCTCGTGTCGTTGCCTGTCCTGTAGATTTGTTCTTTAGTGAAGGTTTGTACGTGCAGAGGAACATGTGCAGACGGCCGTCACTTTGAACTGTTTGTACACTATTGTTTGATTCAGTTGATATGATGTGTTTTAATAGAAACATGCTTGTGTATGATACTAATTAAATAATATGGAGAAACAACAATCCTTATCTTTCTTTCTGAATTATTCTATGTATTAAATGTATATCAGTGTATGTATATATAGATATAGTTATTTTATTGTTCTAACAATATTATCAGTAATACATGGAGGGAAAAGGGTAAACGTATTTCTTTAATAAGCCTTATAGGTCAAAATCAAATACAACAAAGAAAATGACAAAAAACTGTTGGCAGAATGAAAAAGACCAAAAGAATAGATCATCCATCTTTTTATAGTATTTGAGTGTTTTTAAATAAAAAATGTTAAGTTCTCTGGCTCCATGGGGTCACTGCTTGTATTTGGTTCCCAAATGTGTGTCATTTCACTGAAGTTACAGTAAATGAATAAAACTTATATTATTAAGTCAGACACCCGGGTGTAAATAGCTTTGTTAGCTACAGACAGGTGGGAAGTAACAAAGTAGAAATAGTTTGTTACTGTTCTTAAGTAGATTTCCAGATATCTGTACTTTACTTAAGTATTTATTTTTCTGACGACTTTTTACTTCTACTTTACATTTGAACATAAATACCTGTACTTTCTACTTCTTACATTTTCAAAACATGCTCGTTACTTTCGTTTTAATGCATGTGAGGTGAATTATCAATCATTTTTATTTTGCATCACTTCCCCGACATCAAGACTGACTAAAAAGACTTTAAAACTAAATGGATGTAACAATAACACGTAGAGACGACGAGCCCTGGTGTGCAGATCATACACGACGGACGAAAACAACGTATGAGGAAACATCTCTGCAGACGTTAAGGGAGAAAGGTCGAACGGCATCATGTCCAAGAGCAACGCTTACAGTCAGCGGCAGGACTGAACATGAAGATGACATCCAGGAGGCGATTCATCAGACCTCCAGCAAGACGCCCCGCAGCCATGGCCTAACTTCAGGGAGACGTTTGAAGTTGTGGGCGCAACAAATGATTCGTGGCGAATGCACTAAAATTATTTGAGTTTGATTTGTTGTGTACAATGTAGTGACTGCTTTTTGTTCTTTGTTTACTGAGTTGTGTTCTCTGTATTTGATGTCTGTGCTTTGTGATCTGGTTAAATACTAAATAAATACATTCGGCCTATATTAGGGCAAAGTAACCCATCTACAATGTTGGCCACAACAAATACAGGTACTTTGTTTTTGTTCACGCTGAACACATTCAGAATGGCAGTAATAAAAGTTTAAGTATAGCTTGAAACATAGAAAGTACCATGTCCTATTGTTTGCCCCAAAATTGGTTAGCGGAAGGTTTCTTAGCCTACCTTGATTATTAGGCCGAATGATAATTTGTAATAAACAGGATCTCACAAAGCATCATAAATGATAAAAACAAATATCAAGACATCAATGACTCCGCTTTAAGCAGACACGGGTCGATTGAGCTTGCATTAAAAACGCCAGTTTTAAAGTTACTGTCTACTTTGTGTACATTTCAGAGGGACTCGCACTTTTACTTAAGTTAAAAAGTGGAATCGCTCTGTGCAGTACCTCTGACTTTTTACCGAGTATTCCTTACTTCGATAGTGGTATCTGTACTTCACTTGAGTAAAGGGCGAGTGTGTATTTTGCACCCTGCAAGTCAATACAGGACAACATAGACTTTACTACAATTTGACTGGAATTTCCACACCCATAACGAGGTGATAATCTGTTGCTCCATGGTTACAGCATGAGTGGATTTATTTTGGTTTTGAGCTGTTTCCCATCCAACTAATAGAACAAATAAAGTGGTCAGGGTTTTTAGAGCGGCAATGTTACTTGATTGAGCACAGCAGGGTGCAACCAACCCACACACACACAGAAATAGTACACACCCAAACCTGTTGGCTGTGTGTGTGTTTGTGTGTGGCCTAGCACTTGTGGGGACCTTAAAATCGTTGTACACAGTCACCGTGTTGGGGGACCCTCACCTCCTTATTGGACAAAATGGAAGATCCTGTCCTAAGGGAATCATTGAACTTTTAGGTGTGGAATACTTGGTTAGGGTTAGGTTGTGGAAGAGCCGTACTGTAGTGTCTGGAGCCCTGTGTGGTGCACTGGTCTCGGTTAAGATTAGTGGTTTAAAAAAAACCTTAAAAAAACCCTCCATAAACCATCTGAGGGCCCTTGCAAAGTCCCTTATAAAAAAAAACTTTTAAAAAGCTCTATGAGACAGACCGTTATAAAAGACGGTTAAAATAAGTGCAGACGGGGCTGGGACCACGGAACGGCAGCAGAGTAGGTTAAAAAGCCAGATTCCCAACCAGGGTCTCTGGAGGGGGGGCGTTGTGTGTTGTGTGTGTGTTGTGTGTGTGGTTGTGTTGNTGTATGACTGAGTGAGTGAGTGAGTGAGTGAGTGAGTGAGTGAGTGAGTGAGTGAGTGAGTGAGTGTGTGTGTGTGTGTGTATACCTGGTAACGTCCAGCGCCCGCTGGACGTTACCAGGTATACACACACACACACACACTCACTCACTCACTCACTCACTCACTCACTCACTCACTCACTCACTCACTCACTCAGTCATACACACACTCACGCTCAATCACTCACACACACACACACACACTCACTCACTCACTCACTCACTCACTCACTCACTCAGTCATACACACACTCACGCTCAATCACTCACACACACACACACACACACACACACACACACACACACACACACTTTTACTTTGAAAGGCTTTTGTACAACTTCTACACCTTCAATACGTATCCTGATGCGTCCTAAATGTGCAAGAAAATACAAATAAAATACAAAGAATGCAAGAAGAGTCTATATACAAGTAAACTGAATATGATGTATTAGATAAATAATTTCCCAACACGTGTGTGTGTGTGTGTGTGTGTGTGTGTGTGTGTGTGTGTGTGTGTGTGT